GTAAAATGAGAGCCAATTCAGAAAGTGACATATAAGAGGGATACAGTCTAATAGATACAATTTATATGTACTGTACTTTTTTTCTCTTTACAAATAAGTGTCAGCTATCTCAATCCAGCTATTAGTTACTGGCTGATTTCCTATAGGCATCGTGGCTCTAGATTAGGGGCTATTGGCCTTGCAGTTTGTCTTTTGATGCAGGTCTTTCATTTGTCTATTTGACTCCTGGATTAATAAACTAGTTGCCTTTCACTTCCGGCTGGCTGCTGTTACATGTGCAGTATACTAAGGATAGTAGCTGAACTGGTTATGAAACTAACTAACCTGAACCTCAATCCCTTTTCCTACTTCAGCCTTTTTAGTAAAGTTTTCTTTTCCCAAGATTGTTTTTTTAATTGTGGTTTCCCCATTGGTTAGTAGCCTATCGTTTTGATGAGCCCTCCCATTGCAAAAGTCAGTAGGTGTTGCAGTCTGTCTCCCGGGCTTAAAATAAATTCTTGATTTAAGGCCAGAGCTATCCTAAAAAGTTAGGTCAGACCAGCTACATTACATTGTTCAGGGGTGTGAAAAATCCATACCCCTGAGCTATGTAGTTAAACCAACTAATCTCCAGCGCAGACAGCACTAGGTCAACTGAAGAATTCTGAATATTCTGTCTTCTGTAGACCTATTGCCTCTTGGGGAGGTGGATTAACTACAGTGACTGGAGAATTCCTCCTGTCGCTGTAGTGAGTGACTCCACTATAGCAGTTTATATGTAGACATAACCTAAGTCTTGCATACTTTTGGAGGGTTTCTAAGTGAAAAGCTCTCTGGATGACCCCTTAAATAAGAAAATCTCAAAGTCAGGGTGAAAGTTCAGGATGGTGAAGAGTAAATAAGCTCTGACAAGGAAAACGCCCCTTTGAGAAGTACAGTAGGCATAAAGCACAGTTTTTGTGGTGTTTATTTATTTGTTTGTTTATTTTTTTGCAGAAACATGTCTCAAGAAAGTGAGCATGGGAAATGGACGGTATCTAGCAGTGATGAAAGTACAGAAGAAAATAATGATGCTGAAAAGCCATCTACATCTTCATTGTCTCACAGTGGACATGGCAAAACTAGTGGATCACAGTACCCATGTTCAGAGGCCAGAAAAGTTGGTCACAAGAGAAAAGCCTCCCCTGTGAAATTTAATGATACAAGTTTTTCTACAGAAATTTCACCAGCAAAAATCCAGAGAACTTCCCAAGAAGGTTTAGGTTGGTGCCTTTCAAGTAGTGATGAGGAGCCTGAATCTGAAGGTCAACCACAGCATGCACAAAAGGAAGCAGTCAAAGAGGAGAAATATAGTGCACCTAAAAAGCAGCCTTCACGTAGATTTGAAGATGATGAGCTCCCAGTGAGCCAAAAGCCAGAAAAACATTATAAGGTAGCAAGTGAAGGCCAGGACACTTGGGATTTGTTGAATGGAGGGAACCCTTTCAGATTCTTTGTCACTAAAGTCAAAGGTATTAAGTCTAAGTACAACTCTGGAGCACTTCACATAAAAGGTAAATGTTTAATTCCTACAGAAACAGTGTTTCATGGCCATAACCCTTTGGTACCAGTTCCCAATGCAAGGAATACACAATACACCCTTGTGTGTCACTGGAAGCATCTACCTGAGAGAGGTTGCATGGTGCTTGCGTTGCTGCCTTTTGGGTTTCTGCTGAGGGAGAAGGATTTTAATTCATTATTAGGGTCCTATAGGAGCTCCCACCATTGGAGGCTCCCTGGAATAAAGTGCATTTCCTAGGTGCTGAATTACACACCCCTCCAAATTTGCGATTATTGCTGAATTTTTAAAGCATTCGGATCGGCAGTCCTAGAAATTACTGGAAATCTGGGTTCAACCCAAGGTTGAATAACTCCTTCTGTGTGGAGTATTGACACTTCAGAGATGCCATACCAGATAAATAGGCCAGTTACAGCTGATGTGCAAAAAATAACTTCATATTTCTTAATACATATGTAGTACATCTTGAACTTCAGCAGTAATGTTACACTAACAATCTGTGTGTATTTAATTAAATAGAAATCTGATGAATTACAAATTAAAATAGTCATACAGTGTGCATTTATTTCTGTATGAGATTTGTGGGCTGACCTTTAGCAACATGGAAGTGCTTGTACCAATATGAGTGTACATATTTGTAGCCCTGTGCTTGTGTACAATGAAATTAAGTGAAGAGAGTCATGCCTCAGGGTGTGGTTGATTCTTTAGCCAATATTCTCACCAGTGTTGTATGCCCAAAGTGCTGATGTGTTGTCTGAGGGATCCATACTGCAAGATTTTACAGGAGTAAATCAAGATGCTGAGGATTCTCACATCTCTCTGAGTTCAGTGGGACTTGAGGGCTTTCATCCTTTCTCAGAAGTGTTCTGCATCTTGCTTGCTTGAGCCCTGAACTAGGGGATAGTTTTTGTGCATTTAATCTGCAAAACCAGGTTTAAAATATTTCATCTGATAATATTTTGGGAAAGCATGTATGTGATTATATTTTGAAGTAAATCTTTTAGTGCTTTAAACATTCAGATTTTGTTAATGCATTATCAGTGGGCAATCTATTATAAATTCTAATACACAAGAATATGAAGCTTCTGTCTTGGACCTTAATCCTTCAATAAGACTCTTGTGTGGCCTCATTGACTTCAGTAGGAGTTGACCTATAAGAATCCAGTTGCAGGATCAGAGGCTGTCTCTGTGCTCTAGCTGCATTTGCTTCTCCCCACCCTCACCCTAAAAATGAAGGAAGTGGAAAATGCTGAATTGTTGTCAGGAGACTCAAGTCCTTCAGGTCCAGCACAAGCATAGTATGGACAATATCAGTACAAATGTCTTTGTTACCTTGCTGATGTTCTTCAAACCTGTTCTGAAGGGCCCACCTTCAGAGGTGACAGGGTAGCTCATTCTCCATTGCTCTCTGCCAACAAGTTTGCTATTTTTTTTTGTAGACAGACAATCAATGAGAACTGAATTGTCACCCCCAAATTATTTCACAAACAGTCGCTGATGCTGCTTGTCTGGACTGCATTTAAGCCAGCAATCTAGATGAGAGAGTCTCCCTATCATTTTACCAGGTCCATGTGCAATAGTAATTAACAAATTGTTACAAGATCTAAAGTGTATATGAGTATTTTACTTATAAAGATGTGGTTAATAGTGTGTTTTTGTTGTTGTTGTTGTTGTTTTTTAAATAGATATTTTGTCTCCTCTCTTTGGGACTCTTGTATCTTCTGCTCAGGTGAGTTTTAGGTCTTGCTGTTTTGTTTTTTTCCCTTCCAAATGTTGAACTCACTTTCAGTGGTTTATGCTGCTATAATTCCATTAACCTCAAGGCTGCTACTCTGGACTCATCCAGTGTAACTAATATCAGAATCTGGCCCACTGTACCAGTTATATCTAAATGGGAAAATACTTAAAAAGCCACATGCTTTCTGAAGGAGACATTTATGTTTGAGTGAAATGTTCGTTCAAAATTCAGGCTAATTCTAAGAAACTTCCTCTTAGGCTATGTCTTCACTTTCAGTGGCGTTTAGAGTACAGACACTGCATGCCCAGCAAGCATGGATATCAATAGCAGTGTAGATGGGGAAGTACTGCCTTGGTGAATAGAGTACAGACACGCCAGATCTTTTGTGTATGTACCCTGTGCTGCTCTCTACACTCCCAAGCAGTGCCTCCCATGAGCCTGTTTTTAGCAGTGTAGTATCCAGCTGTCTACCTGCTGCTGGAGTCTTTCCCCACTGTAAGAGTCTTTCACTGCAGTGGGGAAAAAGACTCTTACAGTGGGGAAGGGCTCCGATAGTTGCCCACCACAGGGAAGGGCTCCGATAGTTGCCTGCCAGCAGAGCCTTTCCCTGCTGCCTCCCCACTGCCAGAGCCTTTCACTGCCATGTGTAGCTACACGCTGCTGTAGAGATGCAACCTGCTTTTCACTGTGGTGTGTAGTTACCCATACCTTATATGCCACCACGAGGATAGACAAGGCCTTAACTGCCTGTATCTTTTGGGAATGGACAGGCATTGAAAAGTGGATAGTGTTATATCTGCTTTTCTGTGTGTGAGGATAAACTGTTCACAAATCTGTAGAGCAAGATGTTGTAGGAGTTACATTGGTTTGTTTGTTTTGTTTGATGTAGCAATATTTAGGAGCCCCAGTCATGAACAGGATCCCATTGTGCTAGGAACTGTACAAACACAGATGAAAAAGATAAGCCCTGCCACAAAGATCTTATATTTGCATTGTTCCCAAAGTCATTGTATTTTGCTTGTTACATTGTATAAATGTTACTTATTCCATACTCTGTTATAAGTAGTACATTTTTAAGAAAACATGTATGAAAATGAAAACTTAAAAAAATTGTGTATTACTTGAAATTAGGGCTGTCAATCGCAGTTAATGCATGCGATTAACACAAAACAAATTAACTAGATTAAAAAAGTCTCGATTAATTGCACTGTTAAATTTAAATTAGCATTCTATTATGGTTTGATATATTTGGATTTTTCTACGTTTTCAAATATATTGATTTCAGTTACAACACAGAACAGTGCTCACTTTATATTTTTATTACAAATATTGCACTGTAAAAAGGAGAAACAAAAGAAATAGTATTTTTCAATTCACCTTATACAAGTACTGTAGAATGTAGAATTTATTTTTTTACACATAACTGCACTCAAAAACAAAACAATGTACAAGTCGAAGCATGAAGGGGCATATGTATGGTTAGCATATCTGGCATGTAAATATCTTGCAACGCTGGCTACCACAGTGCCATGCAAACACCTGTTCTCATTTTCAGGTGACATTGTAAATAAGAAGCAAGCAGCATTATCTCCCATAAATGTAAACAAACTTGTTTGTCTTAGTGATTGGCTGAACAAGAAATAGGACTGAGTGGACAGGTGAATTGAAAAATGGTATTTCTTTTGTTTTTCTTTTTTACAGTGCAAATATTTGTAATAAACAATAATATAAAGTGAGCACTGTACATGTTGTATTCTGTGTTGTAACTGAAATCAATATATTTGAAAATGTAGAAAAAACTCCAAAATATTTATAATTTTGAATTGGTATTCTATTATTAAGTGTGATTAATACTGTGATTCATCATTTTTTTAAATCTCGTGATTAATTGCTCTTTTTTAATAGTTTGTGAGCCCTACTTGAAATGTACTCTAAAATATAATAAGTACTGCTCTACGCATCAGTAATTTTGAGTGCAAAATATTTCTCCCTGTAGTTGCTGCTTTGGTGAAGTCTCTCCCCCTCCCCCCCCTTTTTTTAACTGGCCTTTCCTTTTCTCTCCATTGTAAGTTTAACTATTGTATAGATGTGGAATGGCTCATAAGACAGTATCCACAGGAATTCAGGTATGACTTTTTAAGGATGTTTTATTAATATGATTTTAAAATAGTAATGGTTTTTGTATATGACAATTACTTGTGCCTGGATGCACAAACAGAGTTAGGTGGCTAGGTCCCTGTTTTAGGTGCTTGAGTCTCAGTTTCAACTTCACTGCAGTGCACAAAACTCCTGCTGAACTCATGTGGCACCTCAGTTTTTGCTGTAAAAGTTTTCTAGGTGCCTGTGTTTCTGTCTCTGAGCACGCACATTGCTGCCTCACTCTAGGTGCCTGGGAGCCTAAGTCCTCTGACCCCTGGTGCCTAGGTTAGCCCACACTAAAAATGCCAAGGTCAGGGCAGGCTGCAAAAAAAACTGGAGGTTAACACTGAAGTTAGACTTACCAACCAGTCACAAACTGTGCTCCTGATCTCCCACGCTGGTTATCAAGAATCTGAAAAAAAGAAGTCACACAACCCTCTTTATTCCAGTTCTCTGGCTCCCAGTCAGCACATAGGTCCAGTAAAGTGAGAAGTTATTTAAAAACTCTGCTCACTATACAAAATGTTCTTCTGATCCACAAAGGGTCAGTCACATTACCGGATCAATATTAGTTTGGATCTTACCCAAAATACCACATTGCCAGCCAATCCTTTAGTATCTAAAATGAAAAATTTATTATAAAAGAACAAGAAGAGAGTTGTTAAATGGTCAAAGTGATCAGATACATACATAAGACTTCAGAGTCCATATATCAGGTTCTTAGCAGCATTCGTGAGCTTACTGGCTTGTAGAGTCCCTCTGGAACACATGCAAAGCTTGGATGGGTCTGTCAGTCCTTTTCTTTGTTCAGTGCTTCAGTTTGTAGAGAAATTGTAGAGGTAAGAAGCAGGATTGAAGACAAAATGGAGAAGATGCAACTTCCTTTTTATATCTTTTACCATGTGGCTTGTACTTTCTTTGTCCCAAACACAAATTTACAGCACGTGGGAGTCCCCTGGTCATCAGCATGTCTCTACATGTCCTGCTGACTCATAAGTGAAGCCCCTGTCTTCTCTTAATGGGTTAATTGTATAGCTGATTGTCCTTCATGGGTCATGGAATTGGCTAGGTGGGCTGATGCCAAGCTGTCTGGGGATGTGACCCAGAAAAACAGCATAGGTTTGAGATACAGATATATCACACATTTATAACACGCAATAGAAAGATGATACAAACATATGAACAAGATTATCATACTTGGCAAATCCTATCTTTTCTACTGATACCTTACATGACATATATTATATACGATTCATTGCAATTTTATAATATTGGTATCAATAATGTTATAAATGGTCACTCATATTCCATACTGTGTCGTAAGCCCTACAACAATTCACAAACCAGGGTAAGATAGGCATTCTAATGCCAAAGTCACATGCAGGGCCTGATCTGGTAGGAGGACTCTGGTCACGCTTACAGCACACACAGTTGTGGATGGAGTGGAGTGGCAGGGAGATAGTAACAATATTTGGGATTGTGATAGTACCCAGGGGTCAGTCCAGTCATTCTGTGGGTGCTGTGCAAGCATAGTTGCTGCCCCAAATGCTGAGCAGTCTGAAAAGACCAGAAACGAAGGGGGAGTGAAAAACAACATACAAGCAAAATAGTCCATGTGGCAACAGGCACATTTTTTGTTAATTCCTCCCCTTAACTAACACACACACAAAGGGTCTAAGCAGGAACATAAGAACGGCCGAACCGGGTCACACCAAAGGTCCATCTAGCCCAGTATCCTGTCTACCGACAGTGGCCAATGCTGTGGTGAACTTTGAGCAGGAGTGCTATGCAGATCACTGCTTAAGGGAGCCTTTCTCAATACTTCTGAATCTAAGATCTTCCCAGAGGATTTCATCTTCTGCTTCCTTTTTAGAGAGACAAAGTGGGCAATATGTTTGGACCAAGTTCTGTTGGTGAATGAGACAAGCTTTTGAGCTATAGAGAGTTCTGGGTGACCTAAAGAAGAAGTCCATGTAACTTGTCTCTTTCATCGAGTGCCTCTTCAGGTCACCCAGAGCTCTGTGTAGCTCGAAAGCTTGTCACTTTCACCAACTGTTGTTGGTCCAGTGGAAGATATTACTTCACCCACCTTGTCTCTCTCAGATCCTGGGACCAGCCCTGCTACAACAATGATGGAAGGCTTCCTTCTGAGACAGTTTCCCTTATGGTCTCTAAATCACTCCCACTTCTCTTCCAGCTGAGTTTCTAGCACCTCTTTCTCATAAGCTTATATCCTAATCACCTCTTTAAACTAATTCCTTGGTGTTATTGAGGCAGTGCAAATTATAGCTCCCTTTCTTTGCTAGAGTGTGAGAGACAGGAACCAGAAATCGTAGCTACATGAAAGAGTAGCTACGGTAGATTGCTGCCTCTGGGTAACCTGCTAACTGACCTGATAACATTTTTATTAAAATCATCACATTTTAATTTTGTTTTAAGGAAAAAACCATTATTAATAGTACATGGTGAAAAGCGAGAATCCAAGGCTGAGCTGCATGCACAGGCACACCCATATGAAAATGTTCGCCTTTGCCAGGTAATTCACTCTTAACTCATCCTTCTTCTGACAAGAGAATATTGTAACCTCTGCTGGGATACTGTAGTACAAAGGACTATGCTAGCATAGATCATAATATTGTAGGGCAAATGGTATTTTATGAGAGTTCCATTTGTCTCCACACCAGTGGTTGACAAACTGGGGTTCATGAACCACTGGAGGTTTGTGAAATTTTACAGGGGGTTCTCGGGGGAAAAACCCCTAATGGCAGACAGAGCTGTGCCTAGGGACCCTGGGCAGCATGGAGCCAGCAGCCCAGAGCCCCTGGAAAGGGAGGTGGATATTTTTTGCTGTTTTTAAAATTAAATAGGCAGCTAGTATTGTTTTTAAAATTATTATGAAGAACAAGTTTAAGCTTTGTTGTAACGTGCGCTGTTTGCCTGGACTGCTCAAGACTGAATGCTTGCGTAGGAGGAACTCTTTTTTGTGTGTTGGCTTCTTAAATACCTTCATGCTGTTTCACATCTGATACTCCTTGATGAAACATAGGAGCCTTGTCTTATAATAGACTTATTCAAAGTGATACAAGCTACGAAAGTGAGATCTTGGAAGAGTGTTGCTGTTTTCATAATCTAATAAAAGACTGTAATGATTAATAATAATAGTGTGTAATAAGCATGTCATAAAAACAAATTTTATATTTACAAGATCATTGCTTTTATAATTTATACTTAGGTAAAGGAGAAAATCCCTGGAAATATTCATTTTTAAGAGGGGGTTCGCGAGACTTGACATGCTAGTGAAAGGGGTTCACAGGCTGTTAAAGTTTGGGAACCACTGCTCCCCACCGACTATATTTTCCTAGTAGTGTGTTGTTATATAGTAGAGGATTTGTTTGTATATAATGTCATTCAGTACCTGATCATAAATCCTACAACTTCTGTGGGATCCTCCACAATAAACATATATTGTATTCAACCTATTACTGAAATAAAAGGAAGCCATTTCTTAAAAAAAAAAAAAAATCTCCTAAAGACATGGTTAGGTATTTGAATATGTAAATTAGGTGTGGCCTATGGTATTGCAACTACTAGATGCCGGTGATTAACAAATTAAAATATTGTATTCCCCAAGCAGTGGTCTGGAGTGGTCTGAGGGTGTTGCCCCTCCTCTCCCTGGACAGTGTAAATAAACAGTGTAGAAATCTAGAATTACCTTTCATCTGTAGTTTCCTGTATGGCTTACTTCTCTCTCCCCATGAAATACACCTTATTTTTAGCTGCCTGCAACAGAACTGTTACACCCCAGAAGACTTCGAGTGTCTTTGGAAACACCTCTCTTATGATACAAAAAGAGCATGGGCCTAATGTCTCAGTCACAAGAATGGTGTAATATGTAAAGATTATTCACTTTTAGCAATTGGAGATTGCATCTACAGGTGCTTGGGGTAAAAGTGGCTGTCTTGTAATTTTGTGATTTCTCCACTAGAGAGCAGTAAACTGAAGCAAAATGCAAGCTGCAACCTTTTCTCGTTTTAATTGTAGCAGGATGTTGGTTTTTTTAATGAAATAATTACCTAATATTCATTGTTGTTCTAGGCTAAGCTGGATATTGCCTTTGGAACTCACCACACGTAAGTAATTGCTGTGAAGCATGAAAGTCCAGTTTTAAAGATAATAGAAAATGCTGGGGCTGCTGTATAAAATGTATGCATTATCTCTAATGCTTTAAAGAACAATTTATAGGGTGGGAAAGCTGGGTTATAAAGATATGCTTTTGAATTTAAAGGCTAGTCTGTACGTTGGTGGAGACTAAGGTTTCAAAGAACTATGTAGTGTTCCCTATGGTATTTACAAATGTTTATAAGTGGGGCCCTACCAAATTCACAGTCCATTTTGGTCAATTTCATGGTCATTGGATTTTAAAAATAGTCAGTTTCAAATGTTTACAGCTGAAATTTCACAGTGTTGTGGTGGTGTAACCATGGGGGTCCTGACCCAAAAGGAGGTTGTGGGGGGGTTGTGTGATTGCCACTCTTCTTCTGCTCTGCTGCTGGTGGCAGCACTGCCTTCTGAGCTGGGCAGCGCCCAGCTCTAAAGCCAGCATTACTGCCAGCAGCAGCGCAGAAGTTAGGGTCACAGGATATGTGGAGGTGGTCCCTTGGATCCTGGCACATGGTAGGCACTCCCAGCTGGGGTGCCACCAGCCCTGCCCCTTTCCTACAATAGCCAGATATCATGGGGGAGATCAGATTTCAGTCCGTGATGTGTTTTTCACAGCCATGAATTTGGTTGGGCCCTATTTATAAGGATCACAGTGCTTTGTTTCATTTCTCAGCCATAGCTAACTCTATGAAGGAGACTTAATGTTTTTAGCCTGTTTATTCTTTTTCTCATTTAATAAGTCATGGATTTCTAGTCTTTGATTTAAAAAATTATTCTAGGAGATTAAAACACGCTGTCTATTTAAAAAAAAATGAAAGTGGGAGAGAGGGTGACTTGCAAGTTACAAGGATAATTGCTTAGTCAGCAAACTGAAGGTAGCAGTAAATAATCAAATTTGCACATAGTCCAGGAATTAAGGCTGCTGTTCTGTAATCAATCTTGGACAGATTTCAGTAGACCAGGCCACTCAAATATGCTGCACTCACTTTTGCAGTTACAGTTCTTTCTTACAGTGCAATACAAACATGTATCTTTAAAAATATGTACAAATCCGGACTAATGGCCATTCACTACAAAAGCAAGTTTAAAAGGAAGCTCTTTGGCAAGTTTTAAATGATGTGTATGTATATATATATTTAAGATGAAACTTGCATTTTATAGTATGCTTGTGGTTGACAGGATTTATTGCTGAAAAATGACACTTGTGACACTGTCAAGTTTGGAACCTGAACATTGTCTGCATTGTTACTGATAAAACAAGCTAAGAACTTTTCTGTCTGTTAGTGAAACAAAACAGTTATGGTGCAATTCATCTGAATGCAGATGGTACCCATAATACCCTAAGCACTACTTAAGCAATAATAACATGGTGTTTAATGGTGCCTATGCTGGTTTACAGGTTATCTGAACTGGAATGAATTTAATCCTTGATGCTATGTCAGTACACATCATCCCATGATCACATATAGTTTAACAGAGGAGAAAGGCCACTGCTATATGGTTTTGGACCTCTCCTTTCCCCCCATATTGATATCATTGCTGTTTTCTAGTGGCATGTTTTATTCCTGTACAACTTAGGTTTTAGACATGTCAGAAAAGGCTCTTGCAGAGTAAAATTTCGAGACATCTCTAACATGTCTTTTCTTCCATCTATTCTTTGGTTTAGAAAAAAATTCTAGGAAAATCAAAAAGGTTTGCTTTAGAAAAAGAAAACAAAACTGGGACCAAAAGGGTTAGATTTTTAAGTAACTGCTCCAAATAGGAGTTTCGGAAAATGGGAAAACTGTGTCACAAATGGACTCTTTACAACTTGGTGTAGCAGAGTATTGAGTTTGCAACCTGCAAGCCAAAGGTAGAAAACTTCCTTAGTCACTGGACACTTTCTGGGTTTGAGATAGAAAAAGGTACTTCTTGGACTTCAGACATTCCAACACCTAGCTCTGTTGAAACTGGTTACAAATTTCCATGGAAACTTATAAAAAGGTGGGAAAAAAAGCTAAAAAGTGGGTTTGAAAGGATGAATGTCTTAAATGAACTTCCTTATGAATTTGCCTGCAGCTGACCTTCCTCTTGTTTATGCAGGGAGGGGAAAGCAAGAGAGGGGGAAAGAAATCAGTACTTGTAACAAACAAAAGAGTCATACTGTTCCAGTCAGTTTCTCTTTCTGGATGAGACAGGCTGTTGTCGGTTTCTGAGTCAAAGAAGTTAGGCTGCAGGAATGAGTGGTTATTCTTAAAATTACGTTATTTATTTAAACAGAATGCAGTTCTTAACCTTAACAATAGCACAGCTGGCACTCCACTATCATCCTTTTAAAAAAAGCCTTCAAATGGTTTTGTCTATAATTAGTTAAATGGTATGAATAACATTGTGTAGCATAGCATGAACATCCCATCTTCATTAAAGTATTCTCTGTATGCGACATTTTATTTTGTTCCCCCCAATGTATTTTGAGTTGTTTTAAATGATCATATTAAATGTTATAGTTCTATTCGACCCTAATGTTTTTAAAAGGTGCATCCTCTGACTGCCTTTCAAAAGTGCATTACCCAAAAGACCTGGTCCATTGCAGATGAAGCGTTGCAGTCTCCTGTGGGCCCAGCAACTGAAAATATTTTAATCGCAGACCTTGGAACATAACAAATCCCTTCTCATTCCAAGACAAATGGAGAAGACTGTAACATGGGGGTGTATCTTTTCTTTGTATGTTTCTGTTGGTTTGCTTTTGTGGATTCAGGCTTCAACCACTGTGTTTTAGAGGTTGCTGAAAGAATATTTTTGACAGCTGCCATTAACTTTAAGTTGATCATTCTTATAAAGATTAGACTTTTTCATAGAAGTGTAGGACTGGAAGGGATCTTGAGAGGTCATCTAGTCCAGTCCCCTGCACTCATGGCATGATTATTATCTAGACCATACCTGACAGGTGTTTGTCTAACCTGCTCTTAAAAATCTCCAGTGATGGAGATTCCACAACCTCCCTGGGCAATTTATGTCAGAGCTTAACCACCCTGATAGGAAGTTTTTCCTAATGTCCAACCTAAACTGCCCCTGCTGCAATGTAAGCCCATTGCTTTTTGTCCTACCCTCAGAGGTTAAGGAGAACAATTTTTCTCTCTCCTCTTTGTAACAACCTTTTATGTACTTGAAAACTGTTATCATGTCCCCCTCCCAGTCTTCTCTCCAGACTAAACAAACAAAATTTTTTTTTCAATCTTCCCTCATAGGTCATGTTTTCTAGACCTTTAATCATTTTTGTTGCTTTTCTATGGACTTTCTCCAATTTGTCCACATCTTTCCTGAAATGTGGTGTCCAGAACAGGACACAAAACTTCAGTTGAGGTCTAATCAGTGCCGAGTAGAGCGGAAGAATTACTTTTCGTGTCTTGCTTACAACACTCTTGCTAATACATCCCAGAATGATGTTTGCTTTTGTGGCAACAGTGTTACACTGTGGACTTATATGTAGCTTGTGATCCACTGTGACCCCCCCCCCCCCGATCCCTTTCTGCAGTGCTTCTCCCTAGGCAGTCATTTCCCCTTTTGTATGTGTGCAACTGATTGTTCCTTCCTAAGTGGAGTACTTTGCATGTGTCCTTCAGACCATTTCTCCAGTTTGTCCAGATCATTTTGAATTTTAATCCTGTTCTCCATAGCACTTGCAACCCTCCCAACTTGGTATTGTCCGCAAACTTTGTAAGTGTAGCGCTATCTAGGTTGTATTTCCTTAGTTTGTTTATGAGAGGGTCATGCAAGATAGTATCAAAAGCTCAAGATATACCACATCTACCGCTTCCCCCTATCCACAAGGCTTGTTACCCTGTCAAAGAAAGCTGTTTGGTTTGACACAATTCGTTCTTGACAAATGCATGCTGACTGTTACTTATTACCTTATTATGTTCTAGGTGTTTGCAAATTGAATGCTTAATTATTTGCTCCATTATCTTTTTGGGTACAGAAGTTAGGCTGACTTTGACACAAACTGTAATGTAAAAATGCTTATTTCATAGTCCAGCCACACTGGGTAAAGAATTTGATGTATGAGTTTCCCAAAACTACATTATGTTGAGATCCCTAACTACATTGCCTTAACTATGTCATGAGCACAAGTGAAACTACAATATCGATTTTCAGTAATGGGTGTTTTAATCCCAGTTTGCTGAACACTAATGTTCAAAGATTAAAGCAAAATTTCTGAAGATGGTATGAGCCACATGAGTTTAGAGTTATATTCTGTAATAGTTAAGAGACTGCATGATACTATGCTAAGGAAGAGATGGAGGTCCCTTGTAAACCTCTGTTTTCACTGCAGGGGTGTGTGTGCATGCGTATGTATATACGTGTGTGTTCGTGTTCGTTCTCTCTCTCTCTCTCTCTCTCTCTTTTTTTTATATTTTCCAGGTCAGTTATATGAGAGGCTCAGGAGTCAGGCTGCCTAGACCTTACAAAGGCTCCAGTCCTTCATAGTGCAGTTAATTATCCAAATGATTTGGGAGGAATGGGGTTTAATTGAGCAATCTTTTGAATTTTTATTGTGCTTTGTATTTTCTTACTACGATACTTCATGAATTTTGTGCACTTATTTCTAAGGAAAATGATGTTGTTGTTATACGAAGAAGGTCTTCGAGTTGTGATACACACATCCAATCTTATTGATGCTGATTGGGACCAGAAAACTCAGGGGTAAGCAACCATTTTTTTTGTTATAGTAGAGGCTTTGCTACCTACCAGTTGTTAAACAAGGAGGCTACATGTCTCATGCTGTATTGTGTGTTGAAGGTGACCTGAAAAATGAAGTCAAGTATCAGGGGATAGCAGTGTTTGTTGTTTTTGTGGATACAGATTAGGAGTCCGGTGGCACCTTAAAGACTAACAGATTCATTTGGGCATAAGCTTTCGTGGGTGAAAAACCTGCATCTGTAACTTTCACTCCATGCATCTGAAGAAGTGAGGTTTTTCACCCACGAAAGCTTATGCCCAAATAAATCTGTTAGTCTTTAAGGTGCCACCGGACTCCTTGTTGTTGTTCTTTTGAAAAATGAACATGAGGAATGGACTTTTTTTCTTCTTCTCTTTTCCTGTTAAATAAAGAAAGCCTGTGAGGTGTTCGTGTGTAGTGTGATTTGGGGGGGGGGGGGAGGGAGGAGGAGGTTGTCTTACTTTTACTATCTACTGTGGCTCTGCAATGCCATGTCAGGGGAAACTGGATTTACCTATGCAATCACAATGGACACATAACGGGGGACATGATTTGGACTCTCACTCTTTTTTATTGATGTTAATTCATGAGAATAGAAAAACACAGGCTGATTTTCAAATATGGAGGGATTTGAAAAACTATGGTCAAAATTTAAAAATTTGGATGTGTAAAGTTAGCAACCCAAATCCTCATTTAGGCATCTAACAAGTGAAGTGACTATCACATGCACTAAACTTGTGCATCCCCATTGACTTCCATGAAAGATGCAGTTGCTCTGAAAATAGGGAAGTGTATTTAGATGTCCAGATTGAGGCATCTAAATGTAGGCAGCCAAGTTTAAAAAGAATATATACTTGGCCTACTGTATGTTCTTACTTGTAAACTGACCAAATTTGATCTGGAAACAACTGAGATACAATTAAACATTCCATGATACCATTTTTAGAGCGTCTCTTTTCAGAATAAAACTGCACTTTATTGTGGTTGCTTCCAGATGACTGATTAATCATAGTTGTATTTCCTTAGGACTTGATTCTTTGAATACTATTAACTGATTTTCAAAGGTATTTAGGTGCCTAGTGTTTTGAAAAAGCCCCATATCATATGAGGCAACTAATTCCTTAAATGTCTTCACTAAAATTTCATCACCATTAAGAACATATCAAAGATGGCTGGCTGGCCTTATAGGATGAGTAGTATGGGAGGGAACTCTCAACAATAAGAGTAAAGCTCATCTGTGCGGGGAAACAGAACCTTCTCTGGGGGTGGTCCAAGACAATGCAATGGATTCTGCCACAAACTCGCCATTTCTTGCTCCAAATGCTGGGCACGTTTCTTTGACTTTGCATTCCCTAATTTAAACGCATAGCAATAAGTATATTTATTTAACAAACTAAAAAAACCAAAACAGTCAACAAACCTCTACCAAAACAAGACACTTGATTGTGTATACTTCTCCCTTTGGGAAGAGGATGAGAGAACAAGCGTGACGTATGTAGTGAGTATGCTTAATGCACTATTGGACAATGCTCAAATATTGCCCTCATCACCATACTATAAAAAAGTATATAGACTAGAATAGATCTCCCCCTCTGCTTGCTTGCTTGCTCTGTGCAAAGGCGTGTCACGGTCAGTATATGCAGGGGACCCTAAGGACTGTTCTCCAGGTGCCTCTGGCGGTGCACTGACAGATGGGGAGAAGGAGGGGCAGAGGTGAAAGTAAACTGGTATGGTCCGGTACAGCGTACCGGCAAGAGCCAGTATGCCATGCCGTACTGGACCGGCTTCCACAGTGGTGATTTAAAGGGCCCAGGGCTCCAGCCCTTTAAAGCACCACCGGAGCTCCAGCAGCCAGGGCTCATGCGGGGATTTAAAGGGCCCGGATCTCCCGAGCCCCGGGGCTCCCAGCTGCCTTTGCAGCTGGTAGCTCCGGGGTGATTTAAAGGCCCTGGGGCTCCCAGCCACAGCCGGAGCCCCAGGGCCTTTAAATCTTGAAAGGCCCCGCCTCTTCCAGTTGAGGCTATGCCCCCGCTCAGGACTCTGGCGTACCAGTAAGTCCTTTAAGCTACTTTCACCCCTGAGGAGGGGCCATGACCTCACTTATTGTGCAACGGCCAGTGGAGTGGGCCTAATGTATGAGGGGGAGTGTGCCTCAACTCCTGAAGCAGGGTAGCAGTGATTTATGTGCCAGGAAGTTCTAAGGAATTCTCCTGAGGCAAATTCTGGGACTCACACCTGAGGCAGGGTGTGCTTTAATGGCATGACAGACTCCTACATTATTAGAAGTCTAAAATTTTAGAAAATAGGCTGCTTAAAATATTTAACTTGGCAAGCTCAGTTATTTTTGTTGAGCTTTAAGTTTCTTTGTACTGTAGCAGAAGCAGAGGACATTTAGCAAAAATGGCCTTAATTGTTTGGTTTTAGCACTTAGGGGCCACAATCATGAGTGGGACTCCATTGTGCTAAGTGCGGTACAACTGCAGAGTAAAAAGATGGCTCCTATCCCGAAGAACTCTGTTAAAATTATGGTAATGGCTGAGATCCGAGCTGTGTGTAAGACTGTAAGAAAACCACAGGTTGAGATTTTGTTGTGGAAACCACAACTTTGAACATACACTGCAACTTTTAGCACACAGCAGCTTTTTATAATTGCTGCAGGTTTGAGTAGTGTTCTGATGCTGTGCACCAGGTTGCAAAGCCACTCACTTAAATTTGACCTGGATACTCAAATTTTGAGTAAGTGGCATTGCGACTGGAGAACTCAAATTTAACCCCACACCAAAACCACAACTATAACAAACAGTGGTAGCAACTTCTGCACCAATAAATCATGACTTTCTTAGCTACAGCTACATGTAAGAAATGTTATCCTTACCATATATAAGAAACCTAAGCACGCCATCATTTTTTTTCTTCATTTCTGACCACTTCAGGTTTTTGAGCCAATTTCAACCCTTTTGTTATGAGAAGCTGTCTTCATTAATTATGTAAAGATTGACCCATTTAGATAGAAAGTTCTAACTATTATGAAGAAACCAAAACAGCTACTTAAAAGTCCACACATTTAAAAAAATTTTTATAGTCTCTCTACTGAGCAGATATACTCCCAGTTCTGTTGATTAAAACAGATACTGTATGGGAGACAGCATAACTGAACAGTTTTGTGAGGAATATTGGCTCATAAGCATTCTGTCAAGACAGTTATGAGTGTTTGGTTTCAGAGTGAGTTTTAAGTGTTTGGGGCCTTCTTAAATCACTCTTTTATGGTCTCCATCTCACTGAAGCAAAAGCCTATTAGGGGTTTTTGAGAAGCAGCAGAAAACATAACCAGTATTTCTGGTTTTAAAATGTCTTATTTTTTTAGAGATGCGTGTGACTTCACTGCTTTTCTACTCTCCGGTCTTCTTTCTGCCAGTTGGATTTTACAGAGAACCATACAGGCATGAAACCAGGCCTTTCTGAGTTCCTGGCAAGTTTCCCTACTTCTCAATCATTTAAGAAAGAATAATTTCTTATTTATCAGAACTTAGTCCATCACAATTTGTGTGTATTAACTCTGGTATCTAGTTGTTGCAACATGCAGTATTCCCAGTATGATGCGTCCAATTGGAATTGTAGATGTTTCAATTATGGAAGACAGTACATATCCTTTGAGAATTTAACAAAGGCTTTGGTTACTATAGCTACAGTGATGTGAAATAGGAAAGGATATCTCGATGGTGGGCTTACAGTCTACCCAGAATGCAGATTAACTCATAAGGGTGCTTTACCATTTGCCATAGGGAAGAAAATAAGACCCAAATTTTTTGTTCTTACAAAAGCATGTATGTGCTTAATTCTGGTTTGTGTAGTGGTGGTTGAAATTGGCTATAAATAATCTTCCCTAATCTCTTTCCCTGAAGGAAAATTACATTTTGGATGACAGTCTTGCTGACGGACAAGAGATGTGTTTTTGAAAAAAGAGAAAATGTGTTAAAGCAACTAGTTGATTGTTAGACGTGATAAAAACCACTGTTCACACAAATGCAGATCTATGCTACATCCATCACTAATGCAAAGGTGCTGTCTTTTCGGCCAACATATGGTAGAACTATTTTTATTGTTCCTGAATTTGAAAGTAGTATTGCTCACTAGTTTGGAATATCAACATAATATTTTGCTTTCTGTGATCATGAATTGCCTTTGGAAACCTTGAGAGAACTTGTACTGCAGGGTTAAGCAACAGCAGCAAGGTATTTTCGGCATCTGTATCTTTATGAATACCCCTTATTATTTATATAGCAGTAGTGCCCAAAGGCCCCAAATCAGGATGGTGGGCCTATTGTACTATGTGAACACCTGGAAAGACTGTCCCTCCCCCACAGAATTTATAATTTTAAAAAGGTAACCTCTGTCCTACTCCCTTCTTCCTCTCCCTCTCGCCCCTACCCCTCCCCCCCACTAACAGCTTCCTTGTGTCTCGTTAATTTCAAAAAGTTGTCTGATCTTCTAATAGTCTCAGGAAAAAACTCTCCCATCCTCTTCATAAGGCTTTGGAGAACCCTGAACAGGAGAGCTAGGGTTGTGAGGAGGCTCATGGCAGCAACAATAGTCTTCCATCTAGAACCCTAATACCCTAATCTTCTGAAGAGGACACTACTGACTTCCTTTGAAGGAGGATAGTGGCAGAGCCGCACCCTTCTCCATAATAGAAAGGATTTTGGGAGGTGACTGTGACTCACTCCCCTTTCTTGTGTCCCCACTTCTTCTGTGCTGAAAGAAATTTTGGAGTGACAAATGATCGTCCCCCTTATTTCTTCAAAGCATACAGACCTTTCAGGTCCTCTAGCTTTGGTTCATTTAACTCTCTGTCATTTCATGAATTAGTAGATAAATCTATTTTGCAGCAGAGCAATTTTCAATTTATAGTAACAATTCTGGATACAAGTATTACTAGTCAGTCCAAACACTGGCATTCAGACTATTATTTATTTAACATTTGTATATCTATAGCACTGTAGATTTACGGGATGGGGATAAATAGTCAGTGGTGCACAGTCTGTGACCCAGGGAGTGTAATTGCAGGCTAGTGTTCCAAGAAATTTATAATGGATAATACGTTTGCCATTCTGTTTTGACAGAATAATAAATTGTGCTCTTAATTAACCTTCCATTTATATCTGAAGAGTGAGCTGAGTCAGCTGAGATTACTGTGCATGCTTGACAAATTGATTAAGCCAGTCATTTTATTAGTAATTATTAGCAATTAATAAAATGACTAGAATCATCCCCTAATTAAACTATTTCTATCTGGCATTCTGATTGGACTACTGGATCTACGTTTCTTAGAATATATATAATGCAATATACGATACATGAATAAATATAGTGCCTTAGTGTTTCTTTCCTACTTCTTTAGAATATGGCTAAGCCCCCTATATCCACGGCTACCGCATGGAACCACTGGTTCTGCTGGTGAATCTGTAACCAATTTTAAGTCTGACCTAATACACTATTTGATGAGTTATAATTCCCCTACTCTCAAGGAATGGGCTGACATCATCCAAGAGCATGATCTTTCAGAAACCAGGTATGTATCATCTCAGGCTACCTTTTAATGTGAATACCTTTGTGCTCTTTTAAGAGGCTAGGCACTCAATGTAGGTTATACAGAGTTGGGAGGGTTTTATTTAAGAGATTTCTGATATATGGATTTTAAGAATTGTAATCAGAAAAACTAATCTAGAAATGCAATTTAATATTGTCAGTTAATGTACGTTAAGGGGTACACAGTTCCTTGGCTTTTTATAGTAATTTTAGGATAAGCCACTGGACCCCAGAACTAAATGAAAAATAGTTTATTTAAATGTAGAATTTGTAAGCACCAACTGGGGTGTGGGCGGGGAAGAGGAAGCTAGAAGACCCTCTGTAAACTATGCTGGAAATGCAGAGAACCCAACTTTAGAGGAGAGAGAAACATTTTCTGTACAAAAAAATTTAGAGAGGGATTTTCTATTAGCAATAGTAAAAGACTGTCTGCTAAAAAGCAAAGAATAAAACTGTATATAACTTTGGGAGAAAAGAAAGAAACGATATGGAGAGTCTGGCATTTGCTACCATGCTAGCAATCAGAAATGGACAATAGTAACATAATACACTGAATACAATCCAGCTACTCTGTATTATTAATTCTGTTGTATTTATGTATACTGTATTTTGGTAATGCTTATATGTCAGGCCATGCTGATAAAGTTATTTAAATTGAAATCAGTGTTGAATCTTGTAAATGAAAATTGTCTGTGTAAATTTCTCTCTAATGTGCAGTTTTTTAGATTCAGATTGAGATTTACATGCTAAATGGAAGATGATGGCTTTGTCTATAAAATAAAGTACTCTATCTTCCACTTTCTGTTCCTCACCTTGCAATTCTGGATGCTAGTTTGCTTGAAATGGCTTATGTCCCCGACTCATTTTTATCTCCTCTCTTTTATTTGGTTGATAATACTTCAAATCCTAAATGAACTAACATATTTAATGTTTTTTAAGAGTATATCTACTTGGATCAACCCCAGGACGATACCAAGGCAACCAAAAAGAAAAATGGGGTCACCTTAGATTTAGAAAGGTATTGGAATTGTTACATTCACTTTTTTCTCTTCTTTCTTATTTTCTTTCTCTCTTTTCATAAATAACTTTTGTGCGGACTTCTTCTGGTTATTTTTAATGTTTCCATCTCTTCATTACAGTTTTCTAATGTTAACTGTAAGCTACTTAGCTCCTTTCTTCCAACATATATGGCTGTCAGAATGACATTTTCTAAAGGCAGTGGCAAAACCATAGATTATGGACTCTATATATCATGATGACCGACTTGTTACATATGTAGGTAAATAGCAGATCAGAAGCCATTTTAGTGGAAGAAGAATACTTACCTGAGTAGGCGCATAGCAGAAGTTGTCAGTAGGCATGACCGAGGAAAAAGTCAAATAACATATTTTACTATAGAATATCTTTCCACTAGGGATTACTGTAAAATACTCTATTTTGTATGGTTCTGTACAGATTTATTCAGAACTGTAAGAAGATACCTCATGTCTGTTATATGCACATTTCCAAAGTTGAGAAGGCACTCTGTACCTAACACTTCTTTGGCATGTGGTAATTTCATGCTCTGCCAAACTTTTTACCTGTCTTTCACAAATGTCAGTGACCTGCTAAATGTGTCATTTTGTCCCATTCATTTTCCACTCAAAGAAGTATCCACCCTTTGACCTCCCGTTGAAATCTGAGCTACACGCTCCCTCATTATGACATAATGGAAAGTCAGAGACTGCAGATAGTTTTCAACCTTTCACTGGACAAGAAAATTATAAAGGTTAGATCCCCCTTGTAAAGTAAATGTTTGAATATGTATATTTATTTTATGGTTGGAATGAAAAACTCACACCTTTTTAGAGTGTGAATGCAGCTCTCATCAGGAAGCCAGTTAGAGCCTTTGTTGTGTCTAACTTTTTCTCAGATAATTTAATTGGCATTTACATCCTTGTGAACTTGGTTTTGCATATTTTCCTAATTAGCTTTTCAGTAAGAATATCTTAGAAAGAATTTTGAAGAGGAAATTTTTTTCTCCCTCCCCCCTCACGCGCGCACACACACACCCCTTCTTTCCTTTCTCTCTGTATCACTTTCACTCTCTCCTGGGCATCTGAGGCTGGGAATTTTCAAAGGAGGCTAAAGGAGTTAGGTGCCCAATATCCATCAGATTTCAAAAGACTTAGGTGACTAACTTTCTTAGATTCTTCTGATAGTCCCAGCCTCCATGTTTCAGGAAGTATCTGGCAGTTTTAGCTCATTTGAACAAAACTATTCATAATCTCTTTTCCTCGTGGAAGAGAGCCATCATGGTTTTGAAACTAAAAAAAAAATTTTTTAGTTGAGTAGCTTTTTATATTGGACTCTTGAATAGATAATCCAACTTTTTTCACTAGTGGCAAATGAACTGCTTAATTATAGAGAGCATCAAACGAGCTTGAATACTGAAACCTGGCTATAAACTTTTTGTTATGTAGTTTGTGATGTAGTTTGACATGTTGAAGTCTAACAAAATGTTTTTATTTTCCCGAATAGCTTTTGAAAGAGTATACATCACCAATACCAGCACAAGAATCTTGGCCGGTGATAGGACAGTTTTCAAGTATTGGATCAATGGGAGCTGACCAATCCAAGTGGTTGTGCTCAGAATTTCGAGAGAGCCTGGTTACGCTAGGCAGTAGTGTGAAGACTCTAGCAAAACCTGACGTTCCTATTCATTTGGTATGTTTTCTAGGTGGTGGTGGTTGGTATTTTTATTTGTTTACCTATTTATGTTTTTTCCAGTGTTCAGAGTAGGATAACACAAACAAGTCTCATTATTGTCAACATCAGTTTGCCATGATTTCTGAAAAAAATTATCCAGGATTTTCCACTTAAAATTGCCGAAGTGGAACAATTTTTTTCTACAATTATTTAATGATAAAGGAATAAAATAGTTACTGTACCTATGTGATGGACAAAATCATAGCGCTACACTTAAAGTATAATAAGCCTTAGAATCGGGCTTTCAACTTACAGGACAATTCTCCAATGTTTCTTAAGTCAGATATGAGACATTGGTGGTATATCAGCAGATGAGAATTAAGTTTTATTCTCTGTGATTTCACTCAATAATAAAGGGGATGAATTGGCAGAAAACATGGAATTATTTTCTGTCTGTAACCAGTAGAGATGACAATTTTCTGTATAACTAGACTAGATCTTTGGTTTAGCTTTTTGTGTTTTTCTGCCTTTCATAATTATTTCACAATTCTATCCTTTTTTGTCAAGGTAATTTGGGCAAAACTAGCCCCCTTGAGTTACCTCTTGATTAGTATATAACCACATCTGTATACTGTATATGTGGTGACATTTTCTCTATCCCAGTAGAAAAACTAATTTAAACATGTCAAGGCTGCTTCCCCACTCTGAACTTTAGGGTACAAATGTGGGGGCCTGCATGAAAACTTCTAAGCTTAACTACCAGCTTAGATCTGGTCCGCTGCCACCATTCCCAAAGCTAGTTCCCTTCCCTGGGAAGCCTTGAGAAACTCTTCACCAATTTCCTGGTGAATACAGATCCAAACCCCTTGGATCTTAAAGCAAGGAGAAATTAACCATCCCCCCCTCCTTCCTCCCACCCACTCCTGGTGGATCAAGATCCAACCCCCTTGGATCTTAAAACAAGGAGAAATTAACCATCCCCCCTCCTTCCTTCCACCAACTCCTGGTGGATCAAGATCCAATTTCCTTGGATCTAAAAACAATGAAAAATCAATCAGGTTCTTAAAAAGAAGGCTGTTAATTAAAGAAAAAAGGTAAAAATCATCTCTGTAAAATCAGTATGGAAAATAACTTTACAGGGTAATCAAACTTAAAGAGCTCAGAGGACCCCCCTCTAGCCTCAGGTTTAAAGTACAGCAAACAGAGATAAACACTCTAGTAAAAGGTACATTTACAAGTTGAGAAAACAAAGTAAAACTAACATGCCTTGCCTGGCTGTTTACTTACAAGTTTGAAATATGAGAGACTTGTTTAGAAAGATGTGGAGAACCTGGATTGATGTCTGGTCCCTCTCAGTCCCAAGAGCGAACGAACTTCCCAAACAAAGAGCACAAACAAAAGCCTTCCCCCCTCCAAGATTTGAAAGTATCTTGTCCCCTTATTGGTCCTTTGGGTCAGGTGTCAGCCAGGTTACCTGAGCTTCTTAACCCTTTACAGGTAAAAAGATTTTGGAGTCTCTGGCCAGGAGGAATTTTATAATACTGTACACAGGAGAGCTGTCACACCCTTCCCTTTATAGTTATGACAAAACATTTTTAAGAAAAGGATTTAATGTAGCTATTTTAGCTCTACTGTAAGATTTTGCCAACAGCACTGTGACCATCTGGGTTTAAAAAAAATAAAAACAGTCCAAAGGAGGGAGAAATTGAGTTATGGAATTGTAGAAAGATCCTAGATCATTTTACAAACTGTATATATGAGAGTTGGCCATCACTAAAATACATCTTCCACTGGAGTAGGATGTAGCAGTCATTCTCAAACAGAAATATAACGTAATAGGTTTTGGGAAGAGAAGGGTAGAATAATTTTTCTTTTGAAATTGCAAGGAAAATATAAGGGCTGGTTTACGCTGAAAACTTACATGTTTTGGCATCGCTAATCTCTCACGGTTGTGAAAAAGCCACACTACTGAGGGACATAGCAGTACTGACCTAACTCCCTGGTGTAGACAGTGCTAGGTTGACAGAAGAATTCTTCGGTTGACCCAGCTACCATCTCTCAGGAAGGTGGATTATCTACAGTGACAGGAGAACCCCTTCTGTCGTTGAAGTGAGCGTCTACACTGAAGCACTGTAGCTGTGCTGCTGTAGCATTTTCAGTGTAGATATACCTTAAGTAGGGACAATGTATTTTGCCTGGAACACCAAGAGGCAACATATATAGTCCCTCAAAGTCCTCTGAAATCTTTGACCACAAGTGGAGAGAATTTTTTTACATTTAATCTAGAAGATGGTATTTTCTTCCCACGGCTGCATTATGTTTTCTATTTTGGAAACTGATGAGATCCCAGAAACATCAATTTTGTTTTAAGTTCAAATCACCAAAGTGTTCTAAAATGTAGTTCCCAAAATGTGAGGTGTTCTGTTTTCATTCCACATCCTATAATCCCCTCTTTGTGTATCTCCTCAAGTGGCAGTATCCATGTCACTTGCACTCCTCCATCGTTAGACATAAGAGAAAAAAAAGAGAGGACAGAGTCTTGTAAACTAGAAGTTAGGAATAGACTTATCAGTCAGGGAAAAGCCCACTGTGACCTCAGGGGCATTACTTGGAATATGTTTATTGCAGTCTCTGCTGATTTCAACCCTGAATTTCATGGATATTCACTCAGCAGCAGTATAAGATAACTGACAGAATAAGTGTTGAATGTTTGTTACTGGTTCATAACTAATTTTCCACTTTGGGTAGTTTAATTTCAATGAAATTTAGTTAATAGCTTTTTTTTTTTTTAATTCTAAAAAGACTCCTGTGTCGTGTTAAGTGTTCAGACTTTTCTTGCTTTCCTGGATGAGTGTGTCCTTTTATTCCACATCATTTGCTAGGAATATGACTTGTCAGAATAGTTAGTGTTTAAAATAATAAGATTCTAATATCTTTATTTCAAAGTTAGTAATATTTTATTAGAACTGCATTATTTCAATTAGCTTGGTTTGATTATTACTTTTTTTTTTTTTAAAGATTTACCCTACTGTGGACAATGTGAGGCAAAGTTTGGAAGGATATCCTGGTAAATAAATGAATAGAAAAATTATTTCTAAAGTTTTTTGTGATAATGCGTTGTTAGACAATGTGTAAATGTTTCAGTGATTGGTGTTTCTTCTGAATGAGCCTCAAGCTGCTGGCTGTGTTGGGAAGACTGTTGGGTTATTGGCTAACAAGCCAGTCTTGTGATTTGTTTTTGGAGCTCAGACACCAGCACTGCAAAGCTTTCTGTGTATTGGCATGTAAATGACAAATCTATTCCAGTTTGCATGTCAGATACAGAATACTGTTCCAGGTCAGAACTATGTCTTAGTGGTACCTGGGATCTGGCAACAAACTGAATGATTTGGATGTGCTTGTGTTTATGCAAAAGTCTTCTCTACACTGGGTTTTGTAAGCAAGAATAGTAGAAGGCTTGATTCATGTTCAACCAGGGCTTAGACATGGAACATAATGGAGAATAATATAACATATATACTCGTCCATAAGCTGAATATTTTCAGTAAAAAAGTGACGCATCAAAGAGCGGAGGGAGGCTTATAAACGGGTCTACACCAAAATTTGATCATTTTAAACTCTATGGAATCATTGAATTGAATACCTAATATACATTGTCGTATTGTTTACTTGGAGCGTCTGCAGGCATGGAGCTCCTCAGTTCCCTGTGGCCACGGTTCACCGTTCCCAGCCAATGGGAGCTGCAGGAAGATTCCGCAGTTCCCATTGGCTGGGAACGGTGAACCGCGGCCACAGGAAGCTGAGAGCTCCATGCCTGCAGATGCTCCAGGTAAACAAAACGTCCCGACCCGCCAACAGCTTACCCTGACGGGCCGGGAGCCAAAGTTTTCCAACCCCTGAAATATAGGGTTGGCTTATGAAAGGGTCATACTGTTTTTGCTATTTTTACTTATCCATTTTGGGGGGTCGGCTTCTAAACGAATGGGCTAATGAACGAGTATATACGGTACTTATCCTAGGAGTAGCAATGGTTGCTCAGGTGATATTTTAACATTCTGTGCTCTACAGTTAAGTTCATTCTTCCCAGGTCCATATTCCTGAAGTCAGTGTGCATGTTTCAAATTTGGGCACAGACCATGTTTTCAGAAATGTCCTATCTCAATGTCTAGCATGTGATACCCATGTTCTAAAGTGCTGCCTCATAAAATGGTCACTGACCTGGCTGAAGCTTTCTTGTTCACTGTTTCTTGTGTAGGTGAATAATGCTCATCTATCTATGGATTTGATTATGGGCTTTGCGCTCCATTGGGCATAATAATGAAAAATATCCACAGAGGTATCTTAAAAAGGGATTGAACTGTGAATCATTAATCTGATATTTCTGAATTCATTTTCTGGTGTAAATTGGTTACTTAATGTTTGGGGATTTGTGTTAAGGTTTTTCTTTCTGACAAGACAAACCATTTAGTATCACAGGAGGCTTCTGATTTGTTTTTCAAAGGAACATTTTATGAGATGAAAATGGAGCTAATGTATTCTCCTACCCCCTCACTATTTACTGAGAATGTATTTTTGGACTGTTTTCAAAATGTCTTTCAAAAATCAAATACCAGTGTTTATAATGTTGTTTCTTTTTCTTTTGAGCTGGTGGCTCTCTTCCATACAGTATACAAACTGCACAGAAACAACTTTGGCTGCACTCTTATTTCCAGTAAGTGAAACTGTCTCTTGATCCTTTACAGCATTGATTTCCAGACAGTATGGTTAAACTTACATTACTATAATACGTTGTGGTGTGGAATGCAAATTTAGGCAAATTGGTCAGATGCCTTGTGGGATTTTAGACTCGTTAAACAATTTATTTGCTTCCAAATCTAGCTGTGTTTTACGTACCACACAGAGATTCAGTATATGCTCTGTCACAAGAACTCGCAGACTCTATGAAATCCTGTTATGAAATGTCCAGGTCAGCTAATCACCAGAAATTTACTTTTAAAACTGAAATCTAAGACATTGTATAAATCTTCCTTTCCGACCTGGAACGATGATATGATTGTACTGCTATTTTGCCCTGAGCCCCATATCCTCCAGATCTGGGCAAGCGTTTTGATATTGGCCCCAACTGAAGCTGGTCTGAACAGGATCAGGAAGATCTTGTTACTGCAATGCAGCAGCTATGGTGCAAGCCAGACCCTTATTTATTTTTATAACATATTTATGACCTCACTTGTTCTAAAATACCAATCTCTGTGAAATTCTGGTCCAGTTGCAGTCAGTGTGAGTTTTACCATTGATCTCACTGGGGCCAGGACTTCAGGTGAAGTCTTTGAGTAAGGATTTATTGTCAGTACAAATACTCCATTTGAAAGTGAAAAGGAATGGGGCCTAGAGTCTTTCTGCAGCCCAATGGAGCTTGGTTTTCTACCTGATAATTTGTCTAATTTCATTCCATGTGCATTGCAAGAGACTATGATAAAACATTCTTTATGGTTTTAAATGGGGAAAAATGCATTAATGGAACTTTCAAGGCTGATTACAGTTTTAAAAATGTTTTTCTGAAAATGGCATTGTGATATTCCATGTTATCAGTTACAAATTTGTTAACTTACAAATGAAAATAATTGATGTTTGGCCAGCCCTGCAAACCAGGTTTTGAAAGTTCAGCTGGAACTTTTTGGCTCGTCAGCAGTATTAAAATTCTGAAATGGGAATGGATTTAATTCTGATGCATGAAACAGAGTAGAATCCAGCTGATGCTCCCATATCACTGCACAGCCAATATAGTTAATAGTGGAGTGAGTAAGGAGGAAGTAGTGATCACTTTTGCCAGTATATAGTGAGCAGATGTTATTCAGGCTACACACAATGCACAAATCTGTGGAGTAAGAAAACTACCATTTTTACATAGCCCCTCTGTTCATGATTTAACTATGCAATTCCTTTGATTTCAAAACTGTTTCAGATTGGATTCATTATTGATTTAACTCTTACACCAGATTTGCAGTTTGTTGCAATGTGTTGTGACTGAAAGCAGGAGGCTTTTAAATGACTTCTTCGTTCAATTTTTTTAATGCAAGTGCTGTGCTATCTCCAAGAATTTAAAGGGACACCAATTTAAAAATCAAGCCTTATCTGCACTAGGGAAATTTTGTAACATTTCTCAGACTTGTTAACACTAGAAGGAACAACCTAGAGAGCCTTAGTGTAGGCAAGCTACCAGCATTTTAAGTACCATGTCAGTTAGCCCTTCCTTTGCAAATTGTAGAGCATATCATCTGCAATGTACTGGCTTCTTTGTACATGGCGACACAGATGTCGTTCACTTTTCCAGATGCTTATGTACTTCGTTCTGTCTACAGCCAGAAGCACTTAACTTGTTTTTCTTTAGAATTCTGAAACAAACAAAAATGAAAAAGTATTCTCACCGACTGAGAACAAAATATGTATAAATAGGTCTTGCTCAGACAGCTTGTACCAGCTATTATTTATACATCAGAAAATGTTTCATTGCAGTTTCATTTTAAGACCTTCTATTAGAACTGTGATAAGAGAACTGCAAATAAAAGCTCATTCTGAAATTACTTTAAATGAGTTAACATTTCTTTAAAAATATCTAGTGTAAGAATTTAAATACTCAAATACTGTGAAATGGACGTTAAGATTAAATACATACTACTAACTCCTTGTTTGGACATACTCATTAAAAATACCTGTGACCTTATATGCATTAGTGATTAGGCCTTTGCAGTATACAAAGTACTTGTGACCACTAAAGAATATTCCTTTGTCATTAATCAGAATGTCTTTAGAACAATGATATTCACACTCTCCCCGGCCCCCCAGGACTCCTTTTCCCAGGTTTTGCACTGAAATCTATCCATGCTGCGACTCCTGTTAGGAATTTGAGGAGTGTTGCATGACAACTTATGCAGTGCAGAAGCAATCAGTTTTTTGTTTATCCTTGGTCTGAGTGTCTAGTAGTCCTCTAACATGTAACCTTCTTTGTCCCTTTATTCTGAAAAGCAATACTGATGCGCTATGGAGGAATCTGCTGCTGGAGGGTTGCTGTGATGTGGGGCTTTGGGGTGGGTGAGAAAGTAAGAGACGAAATTAGTGTCTTGGAAGGGTCTCCCTTACTGACAAAAATGAGTGGGACTAAGACTTGGAGACACAACATGGAGGAATTGGCAGAAATAAACAGATACTATTCTAAAGGAAGGGAAAAGGAATAGAGTAGGGTGACCAGATGTCCCGATTTTATAGGGACAGTCCCGATTTTGGGGTCTTTTTCTTATATTAGATCCTATTACCCCCCACCCCCGTCCCGATTTTTCACACTTGCTGTCTGGTCACCCTAGAATAGAGAGAAGGAAACACTCTGAGATACTGTACTGGTGTAATGGTTACTTGTACTCCCACAAAAAGAAAGCTAGAAATACCTCCCAATATTGTGAAAGTGTGTGGCAGATTGTGGTAGACCTCCACGCCAAAGCTCTGTTATACAGTTCTGAATTTAAATAGATGAGCTTTGAAGTACACGCTTACAAGAAGGAGATGTGCACACTTAATATCATAGGTGCACTTTTCTGACCCTGGAAAATCATGTGTCAGGCACTTCAGTGCAATTGTAAAAACAGTAAAGTTTGTTCCAAGGGTGGTGGTCTTTTTGATACAGACTGCGTTTATTTTATTTTTTTTCTTTTTCTGCTCGCTATGTTCTCTTTTATCACTGGGCTATATTTTTGTCTAGATTAATAGACAAATTCTTCACTAGAATACCTTTCATGCCAGTGTCTGTCCTTATGATAACACAAGATGTTCTGTTACATCCAATGCTTGAAGTTCAAATCCTGGAGTTCTGTACTTTATACTTCATACATAGAGTTTAAGGCCAGTAGGAACTATTAGATCATCTAGTCTGACCTCCTGTATATCAGAGGCCATTAAATTTCACCCAGTTACTCCTGTATATAGAGCCCAATAACTTGGGTTTGGCTAAAGCAAATTTTACAGAAAGGCATCCAGTCTTGATTTGAAGAGACCAAAAGATGGAGAATCCACCATTTGCTGTGGTAGTTTGTTCCAGTGGTTAATCATCTTCACTGTTCAAAATGTAGGCCTTATTTTTAAACAGAATTTGTCATGGTTCAGCATCCAGTCACTGGTTCTTGTTATGCTTTTCTCTGCTTGATTAAAGAGCCCTTTAATACATGGCATTTTCTCCCCATAAAGGTACTTATGGCTTATAATCAAATCACCTCTCAATCTTCTTTTTGATAAGCTAAACATATCAAGGTTTTTAAAGCTCTCCCTGGAAAACATTTTCTCCAGCCCTCAAATCATTTTTGTGCCTCTGTTCTGCACCCTCTCCAATTTTTAACATCCTTTTAAAAATAGGAATACCAGAACTATATATTGCAAAAACAACAAGGAGTCTGGTGGCACCTTAAAGACTAACAGATTTATTTGGGCATAAGCTTTCGTGAGTAAAAACCTCACTTCTTCGGATGCATATATTACCAATGCAATATAGAGGTAAGATGACCACCTTGTTCTTACTGACTGCTTCCCTGTTTATACTTCCAAGGATTGTATTAGCCCTTTTTGCCACAACGTTGAACTGGGAACTCATGTTGAGTTGCTTGTCCACTATTATCCCTAAATCCTTCTTGGTTGTTGTCCAGGATACACCCCTTTATGATGTAGGTATGGCCTGCATTCCTTGTTCCTAGATATATAAAACTTTGCATTTGGCAGTACTAAAACTAATTTTGTTGGAATTAGCCAGTCTTACCAAATCGTTGAGATCATTCTGTATGGCTGCCTTGTCGTCTTCTTTATTTATTGCTCTGCCAATTTTTGCCATCTGCAAATTATAACAGCATTGATTTTTATATTATTTCTAAATCATTGAAAATGTTGAATAGTGCCAGGCCTACTACCAGTCCCTGTGAATCCCCAGTGGACATTTCCATTTGATGGTGATTCCCCATTAGCTATTTTCTGTCAGTTTCATGTGTGCACTATTGATACTGTATAGTGCTAGTGCTTTAATCAGAATATCATGCAGTACTCAGTCAAATGCGTTACAAAAGTCTAAGTATACTACATCAGCACTGTTACCTTTTATCAGCCAACCTTGTATGATCATCAGAGAATTAAATCACATTTGTGGACTGGTATTTAATCATATTTCTTAGTATTTAGTGTTGGACTAGGTCATTCCCTCCCACATTAAAAAGTGAAGGGGATGAAATTAGGTAGAAGATTCTGTCTTGAAGCCTGTTGAACTGAGGGAAGAGTAGGTTTGCCTCCTACATAGTAACCCTACAATAACCAAAGTCTCTCATACCTTGAGGCATCCTCAGAGGAGCAGTGTGTCTCAGCTACTTCCCAGGCACCACTTGTTCTCACATCAGCATAAGTGTTGCTGACGGGCTCCTCTGGTCATGGCTGGGCCTGATCACCAACCCCTGGAGGGCTGGTTAATTACATGAAGCAGAAATCTGTGTAACTAATCATTCTTAATTTCGGTGGATTTGCAGGGGGCTGATATTAAAGAAAATGAATCTCTAATCATATGCATGGGCGGGCAGAGTTTGCATGGAGGAGGTTCCATGGTGTTATGCTAGCTGAACTTCCCCTCTCCCTGAATAGAATCACATGCAAAAAAGCAGGCTCCGGTTTCTTTCATCCTATTGGTACCAAAAACCAGAGAGGCTGGAGTGGCTATTTTAACTTGCAGAGATGAAATATACTGTGTGTTTTCATATAAAGTCCTTTGAATTCTCTGTTTGGGTGGTTGCCCTTTCTTCTCATTTTGTTTTTGAAAGCATGAATTCTGAATGGAACAAAAAAAAAGTTTTATCCAACAAGTATGTAAAAGAGCATCAAGTGTTTGAAACCCTGCAGGTGGTTATAACAATTGCAAATGAGTTATCACCATGTAATGCAAAGGAGTACATAAGTGTTTTCTTCTGTTTTGTAGCAAAGATATGCATTTTGAAATAATGCTACCTATTATAATATGATCTTGCCTAATTGGCATATCATCTTAAAGACTTTGTTCATTTCCTTGTGTTTAGCTGATGGAGGAATTATCTCATTGGTCTTTGTTTGGTAAACCTAGAAGAGCACAAACTTGCATCAGTCTGATGTACAGATTT